CCACCCTGTTGCCTGCCCTTCCTGATGGTGCCCCGTTGGCATCTATTCTCACCCCAACTATCAGAAGTTTTTCTGCCTCCCTGGAGGTACGGGAGAGGATACAGGATCCCATGGAACACAGAGCAATCACGGAAGCTCCCCCAGTGCCCTGTGTCACCCTCACAAAGCCCTAGGAAATGACATCATCACCCCTGGTTTGCGGATGGAGAACCCAGGGCTCAGAGGTGGGCAGCCCCCTGGCTCAGATCACACAGCTGCCGAGTGTGGGGCTGGGGGTGAACCAGGTCTGCCTCAGAGTCTAAAGCTCTCTTCATCAGAACCCCACCCCCACCCCCAGTGTCCCAGGCAAAGGGTCGTGTTTCCCCAGCGGTGCCCCCCCCCCAACCTTCCCTGCAAGCCTTGAATTCCAGCTGCCCTTTCCCCATGGGCAGTTCGGTGTGTGTCCTTGAAGACGAGGCATTCCTCGCCACGCTGACGGTGGGAATAGTAACAACAATAATTTCCAGGCAACAAGATGCCAGGTCCTCTGGGGCACATTATCTCGAATCCTTATAAGAATACTTTCCCCCAGGTGGGCATGTCCCCATTTTACAGAGGAGGCTCAGGGAGGTGCCAGGGCAGTGTGGCCCTTAGCCTGGCTCCAGTGGGCAGGGAGGGCGGGAGAGAGGGAGCTGAGGGTCACCAATCACATACCCCAGAGATCCTCACAGCCTGCTTCCCCCACTCGAGAGAAAAAAAGCGGCAAACAAATTAGGCTACGCGAGCCCAGAGCCTGGGGAATACAGGGTGAGCCAGGAGTCAGCTGTGAATAATGCCTCCGTTCAGCGGCAGACGACTGCAGCCTCGCGAAGGCCGCTGCTTCCCCTTCCGCCTGCAGCCAAGGTGCTGGGGTTAAACGGAGAGGTACCTTCCCAGGGGCCAGAGGGGCCGGTCCCCAGGCTTTGGGCTGGCGGAGTGAGCCCTGCAGCCCTCAGATCCCCAGGAGAGCGGTACGGAGGCCTTTTTATAAGGCAAAGCGCTGGCCTTCCTTCCAAGGGGATCCGTTTCCCGGACAGGCCCTTACCCCCGGCTGGGGGCAGGGTGTCTGCAGCCCTGAATGAGTGGGGGACTCTGCCAGCTGGAGGACCCGCCGGCGGAGGGGTCCTGCTGGTGACTGGCACCCTGCAGTAGGGCCTATGGGAGGCCCTGCACGCTGGGAAAGGCAGCAGCGGCAGAAAGGACTGGGGCCGACTGCTCTTCCCTGCACCGCACCCGGCTCTGCCGCTGCCGGTGCTCGGAGGGGAGGTGAGCCTCCCAGGAAGGCCTTTCCCGGTGTAAACACTTCCCAGGAAAGGAATGTGCTGGAAGAGTGGGGCTGGGCCCCTGGAGCTTCACGCAGCCAGCTGGGGTAAATTTAAAAAAAAAATCACCCGGGGACTCAGACGGCTTTTGTGAAACTCAATCAGAGCCTCGCTGCCCCCCTCCTGCCGAGGCTGGCGCATCCTACCTGGGCAAGCGAGCCCCGGGACCCTCGCAGGCTCAGCGGGGCCCTGTGACTGCGGCGGGGAGGCGGGGAGGCGGGGAGGCGAGGGCGCCGGGCAGGCCCCGCTGGCTGAAGGGCGCCCAGCCCGGAGGCCGAGGTGGGCGCGCAGCGGGCGGCAGCCCCGCGCCTTTCTGCGCCCGCCGGCTCCCGCGGGCACCACGGATCTCGGGTCCCCAGACCTGGGAGCTGTCTTACAAGCGATTAGACTCCATTTTGTGACAGATTTTTGGACTCTCCCGCCAACCCTCCCCCCTCCCGGGGCCTCCTCCAGGAATTCGCCACCTCCTCAGGATAGAAACCCTTTCCAGGCGCTCGACAGAAGGCAAGAAAAGAGTTACATAATTCTGTTCGGCCAAGCCGCCAAGGAAAAAAATGGGGGGCCACTATGCTGTCACTTTCTCATGTGTTCTCGGGTGGAGGAAGGAGAGGGGGTTCCTGATTTTGGGTTGGGAGGCGCATCTCCTCCCGGTTTCTAGCTGGACCTGCTGTCCGCAGAGCTCGGGCTGCCCAGCGGCCAGAGCCTCAGGCACAGGAGAACAATCCGGGGCTTTTGTTTTTTTCCTTAAATAAGCAGGACCTCTCCCCCAAAAAACACACAGGAGAAAAAGGAGACTTTCGAGTTATGCATGAAAATGCCAAGTGCCGCGGGGCCCCGCTCTTTCTGCCCGTGCAGGGCGTGCCGGTGGATTTTTTTTATCAAATGCTATTAAATTCGCCCGAGTGTCGATTAATTACCCCCGTGGTGCGTAAAATAATGCTGCTCTTCTGGGTGTCCAGGGGCTTTGAAGACAAGTCGAGTGGAGGCAAAGAGCTTAGGCAAAACAGCCACTTCTTTCTAAGCACCGAACCCCGCTGCTCCCCGCCGGAGGACACGGTTCCCTAAAGTTGCCCTGGTGGGGGGTTGCTATTTCCCAACGCTGCTGACGCACAGACCAGGCAAACCCGAGAAGGCACGTTTGTGTGCCCACTTGCCCGGATTCTCGTCTGAAAGCATTTACGCACAGATGCAATAAATATGCCTCTGCGATCCTCAAAGAAAAAAAAATAAATAAATCGTGAAATATATTTTTATTGTGAAAAGAACATTGCTTCCCAGTGAGCCCCTGCTTGCCTGGTGGCGCTGGCTCTCTCCTGAGAGACGCTGAAGCGACACCCCGCGCCGGGGAATCCGTCCCCAGGAGCGTCTTGCTAACAAGCCTTCCTCAGACCCCTTAAACAGCCCACCTGGAGCAGATATCTAATCGGCGTTGCTGGAAGAAAGAGGGGGCGAGAGAGGAGGGGGGCACCTTGAGGGGACGGACGGTGCCCACCTGGAGGCTGCTGCCCTGCTGAACCCAGACTGAGATTCGCCCCATTCCAAAATTCACTTGCAAACTCACCCGAAGGCACTGGAGAAGAAAGCTCTTGGGCGCCCTTTTCCTTTTTAAAACAAATACACTTTTGACAAAGCCGTCGCAAATGTTCAATTGTTTTGTAAAACGAGGGGGTTGGACACTCCGCTTGAAGGGGGAACACCCAGGTCAGATTTTGTGACTTTACAGTCCTGTGCTCTGAAGAACCAGGGGTACCCTCTCCTCGTTTTAAAAAGAAGCCCCATAAACGATTGGGGGGAGGAGGGTAAGAGCGGGGGTAGAATGAACAGATTTGCACGAGAGGTTGGAAAGGTTTTACGCATTTTCCAATATATAAAAAAATTTTCCAAAACCTGCCCGAATGACTCGGAGACCCACTTGCAGCTTCCTGAGCCTCCTGCCCCCAGGTGTGGAGTGGTCCAGGCCGGGGGCTGAGCTGAGTGGGAAGTGGCACTGCCCCGGTCTAGCTCGGGTTGGTCAGGCAGAGCAAGTGAGGGCTGCGGGCAGGCAGGCCGTGGGTGGGCTGGAGACCGGCGAGCCCTGCGAGGGGCTGCTCCCCGGCCGGCCCTAAGCCGCCAACCACATTTACCCCAAACCACCTTCCCCGTTTTATTTGTGCTGCCCTATGCCTGCCTGTGGCTGAGCTGACTGGTGGCCTCACCTTCTGCTGGAGCTAGAATCCCATCGGCCCAGGGCACGGCGCAAAAGGGATCCCCGACACTGTGCCTCATCAGGGGTGCTCCAGACAGTGGGAGGCCTTGGCTGGGCTCTGGGGCCAGTGGAAGAGCTGGCTCTCCGAATCTGGCTCCAGCTCCTGCCCGAGAGCCCCCAGCCGACAAGAAGAACAAGGCACACAAACCAGCTCTTGCTAGGCCCCCAGGCCAGGGAAGCAGGCCAGAGTAGGCCCTAGGATGGGGCTCACCCAGAGCCTTTCAGAGTAGAATCCCATGCCCTCTGGAGGGCTTTGACTCCAGCCAAGTAGTTGGAGGGGCAGGCCAGCCACTCAGGGTTTCATCAGGGCCTGGGTTTAGAGACAGTCTCTGGGCAGAGCAGGTAGGCTTTTCCCAGAGCACACGCAGACCCTCTGAGCCCCACACCGCCTGCCCGAGCAGCCTACTCACCCTGCAACCCCATCTGAAGGAGTTTTCCAGGCCTCACTAGAAAGTTGTCGCAGGCACCCACTTGCCTCTGCAGTGCTGCCCTGGGGATCCCCACACCCCTCTTTTGGCTGTTGCGCCTCTCTGCCTCCCTTTCAATCATACTGCCAGGCACAAAACCCAAATGGAAGGGGGTGGGGGCGAAGCCACATCTCTTATCTGTCCCAAGCCCCTTGCCAGACACATCCAGAGTCTCAGCTAAAAAACAAAAGTCAGCAGGTAGAGCTCAACCCACAGCCTCTGGCCTCAACCCCTGGAGCTACACCAGGGCAGAGCAGGCTGATTCGGGCAGTTCCCCATCCCCATGGGGAGCCCCAGATTGTGGTTTGCCACCTCTTGAGGTCCTCCTCCTAGACACCTTCTCCAACCAACAAAAATTATAAGTGCAAAATGCCCCCATGGAACGGTTCTGGGGACGATGGACATCCTTTTCTCTCCATCAGGGACTAAAAAACGCAGCAGGGCTCATGGCAGGAAGCGGGTATGGGGGGCTGCTCAGGCAGCTCAGCACCCCTGCATCCCACCTCCTGGCTCCAGGAATCCCAAACCTCCACACACCCTGCCTTTGTGCTGGAGAAGCACACCACTCGGGCCTCCCTCCCTAAAGCACTGCTTTCGTTTAGAAATCAGTTCTTGGTCCCCAGTTCAGGCCTCCCAGGACCGTGGCCTCTATCCCCCAGTCGGCCCAGGGCCTTGTTCTGCACCCCAGCTCAGCGGCCCAGCGCTGGTTTTCCCGACAAAGGGCGGCAACTAGCAGCTGAGGCTCCCGGCCACCCCACCAGTGTTGGCCCGGCTGGGATGGTTCGCCCCTGCGGGAGACACGCAGACCGCGGAGCCCTCGGAGTTGATGGGCCCAGCGGCGCACAGAGCCCAGCGGCGGCCGGGGGGGATGCGGGCCCGGCCTGGCAGTGGGGGCGGCCGGGCTCGGGTGCCGGGCGGCGGGGAAGGAGGAGGGCGAGAGGCGCTTACTGTTGGTAGTCTTGTTTGCAGTACAGTTTCCGATCCCGGAAGTAGCAGCTGGTGGTGAGGGCTTGCTGACACGCCGCGCACTGCAAACACTCCTCGTGCCAGGACGACTCGTTGACTCGCATCAGGAAGCGGTCGGAGATGGGCCGCTGGCAGCCCTCGCAGACGGCGGGATGCGGGCAGTCGGAGCCTGCAGCGCACAGGGCGAGAGCCGGGCCGTCAGCGCCGACCAGCCCGACCCCAGCGTCCCGGCCGCTGGGTACCCGCAGCCCCGGCGCCAAGGGCGAGGGCAGCCCGGGAGCGCCGCCCGCCGCCAGGGCTCCCCGGGCCGCCGCGCAAGGGCCCGGCGGCAGCCTCAGCTACTCGTCCTGGTCCGCAGACTCGGGCGCGGAGTGTCCGCAGGCCTCGAGGCTTGGCTGGGCGCTGCGCTCTCCCCTTCTCCGGAGATCCAGCGCTTGGTATTAACACGTATGAGAACGAGCGCGGCGCGGGGTAGCCGGGTGGGACCCACACAGGCGAGGTGAGGCTGGGGGCTCGCTGGCTTATGCGCCCCACAGTGGCATTCGTGGTCTTCTGTCCCCAATCTTCCCCAAATCTGTTATTTGGGGGACTCGGGGAACACTGCTCTTTTAGAAGCTCCCCTCCCCAAGTGACCTGGCACTACTTTCTAGCTTGCCAAGGTGACTGCTTGTGTCCTCCATCACCCCTGCCGCCCGCCTCCTACCTCCCGTCCAGAGTGGCATCTCTAGGTTCGAGGCCCGATGAAGATGGGGGTGGGGTGGGTGGGGGCTGGAGCTGCCTGTCCTCCCCCCTCCTAGGTGAAGTCCCTGCATACCTGTCCCCGCAGGACGCCTGTCTAGCTTGCGGCCCCTCTAGTATCACTCCGGAGTGTTCTGTGTTGCCCCACACTCCCACGTCCTGCAAACCATTTCCTTTAGCAGTTGGCCTAGACGCCTGCTTCCACCTCAGGACGAGGCCCCTGTCTCCTGCCGTGACCACCGGGGCGTCCCGACCCCGCACTCACCCAGCAGCACCCCCAGAGTGGCGGGTCCGGGGCGCAGGGCGTGCTCCTCCATCTTGATGCCGTCCAACATCTTGGCGCAGTCCGTCTGCCCGCGGGGGAAGCACCTTTCCAGCGACTCGGGACCTGTTGCTATATCCATGGGACGCAGGGCGCGCTGCGGGCCCCGCCGGCCAGGGTGCTCGCCCGCCCGCCCGCCCGCCCGCTCGCCGCCGCCGCCGCGTCCCCGGAGCCGGGGAGGCGCGGCTCCCGCGGGGTCGGGGCTGCGGCTGGGGCCGCCGGTTGCCCCCGGCGAGCGTGCAGCGGCGACGCGCTGGCCCCGGGCCCCGGCGTCGTGCTGGCGGGCCGGGGCGGCTGCAGTCCGCGCCGCGCTCTCCCGGGCACTCGCAGCCACGCGCGCCGGCTCTTCTGTCACCTGCTTGTCAGCCCCGGAGCTGGGCTGCGGCCGCGGCTGCAGACGGAGCCGCGGGGAGGAGACGGCGGCGGCGGCGGCGGTGGCGGCGGCGGGCGGGGGAGGGGGCGGGGGTGTAGGGGCGGCCCCGCGGGCGGGGGGGAGGGGCGCGCGGGCTGCGCAGCGGGGTCCCGGGCGGGGCGCAGCGGGCCGCGGGGCTCCCGGCGCGCTCCCCGCACTACTCCAGTGCCATGGTGCGCCCGAGGAGCCGCTCGGTTTAGAGCTGGGGCTGGCGGCGGAGGGATACTCCGGCCGGGAGCCGCCTCACCCCTCCTCAAACTTCCTGACATTTGAACTCATTGGCGCGCCTCGTATCCCTGCGCCGGGATGAGCCGGCGACTCCACGTCAAATAGTGCCGCCGCCGCTCCCCCGCCCCCTGCGGGAGGGCTCCCCGCGCCCCCAGCTTGCGCCCCGCGTGGCGCCCGGCCCCGAGCGCGGGCTCGGGGGCCCTGGCCCGGCCAAACGCCCCGTTGGCCCCTCTCAGAAGTTTGGCTTGTCCTCGAAACAAATCCTTCTGCCCCACCCCCTTGAAAAATTGATTTGGGAGTTGGGGAATGAAGGCTTTCTTTTTTCTTCCTTGCCTTCTTCGTTATTAATATTTTGTAAAGCTCCAGCGCTGAGAGGAGTGGCCCCGAACGAGGCCAGACTGCGCGGACGGCGGGGAGCGCTGCAGCTCCAGGGGACGGCGCCGTCCGGGGACCCCGACTGCCGGCCGAGGTAGGTCGCACCGGGCTGAGTTCGCGTCCCCGGGCGGCGGCGCCTTCGCGGGGCCGGTTTGATCCGCAGAGAGGGCTGGCTGCCGGGCTTGAGGGAGGGGACCGGCGGGAGGGAAGGGGACCCTGGCCCCGGGTGGGCTCCCGGATCTGGGATGAGGGTCCGGGGAGCCTTCCGACGTGGCAGAGAGCGGGTGGAGGGGTGAGCGAAGATCGCGGAGGGGCCCCAGGATCAAGAATGGGGGGCACTGGACAGGCGAGGAAGGCGAGGCCGGGGTCCAGGCGACGGAAAGTTTAGAGGACGATTAGGTCTGGGGAACGGGGTCCCCAGCTAGGGTTGGGGGGGGGGCGATGGATGAGAACCTGGCCTCGCAGGATTTGGAGTGAGGCGCACGGGTGGGGCTGGTGGCCCCAGGTCGGGGACTGGCAGTCCGGCACGGTGTGTATGTCGCCGCTGGGAGGAAACCCGACTGGCGCTGGGCTAGGCGACCTTTGGCGGGGAGGCACCGGCGGGACCGTAGGCCGCGCCCGGCAGGGACGGCGCGTGGCGGGGCTGGGTGAAGTGGCCACAGCACCCGGGAGCGAAAGGCTCCGAGACCCCGCGGCCAACTCCGTCCGGCGCCCGCGAGGCCGGCACCGCAGGACCTGGCACCGCAGGACCTGGCACCGCGCTAGGTGCGCAGGGCGCCGCGCCGGGACCCGCTGCGTCTTCGGCTCCCGGGTCCCCACGGAGGCGCTGCTCGCGCGGGAGCCGGGGTTGGGGCGATGCGGCCCCGGGGCCGGCGCGGGCTGACCCCGCGAGCTGGGGCGGGCGGGTCCCGGCCCCTCCCGGAGCGGAGCAGCGGCGCGGAGCGGGGTGAAGGCGGAGGGCACGGGGGGCGGGTCCCCTGACCCCGCTAGAGGCGAGAGGGCGGATCGGATTTGGAGCTCAAGGGAGGCTGGGTCAGAAGTGGCCCCCTGTGCCGTGGGGCCCCGCGGAGGGGCCCGGCTTTGTGGAGGATGAGGGCCTCCAGCGCCACCCCAGTACCTGCGTGTGTGTCGGGGGGCGTCTCTGTGTGTCTGTGCGTGTCGATGCTCCCGCCTCGGAGGCTCTGCGTACGTGTGCACCGTGTTTCTGTGCTCCAGCGACTTCGTGGGACTCGAAAGTGTGATTCTGTGAATGTGTATCCGACTCCTTTGCGTGTGTGCGTGTGTGTGTGTGTGTGTGTGTGTGTGTGTATCTTTGGGCCCTTCCGTGCCTCGGTACCGCCCGTGGTTCTGTAGGTCGCTGTGTGCGTCCCTGTGTCTGTGTCACTCTGTGCGGGCACATTTGTCTTTGTGTCATCTCTCAGCCTCTGCATTGTGTCTGGGGTCCTTTTCTGTGTGTGTATCGTCGTGTCACCGTTGTGTGTGTCTGTGTGTCTCCGAGTTCCTGAGTGATTCTGTGAGCTCCGTTTCCCAGAGTTTTGGGGTGTATGTGTGTGTGTGTGTATATGGCTGTCTCTGTGAATTTCTCCTTTTTGTGTGTGTCTGCGCCCAAGACGGTGGATGAGTGGATGCAGAGTTTTGCTCACACGCCCTTGATCCTCGGCCCTTGAAAACCCCAGACCTTGGGCTCGGGAGCTTGGGCCAGGGCCGCCTTCTCCGGGCATTTGGGACGGGGCGGCCGCTGCCGGAAGGAGCGGGCGGCCCGGAGGCGCACAGCCCGGCGCAGGGCTCGCGGACCGATCGGGCATCCTCTGCCCTCTGCTGGTAGCGCCGCGTCCCTGCACCTGCTGTATGTTGCCGAGGCCTCGGGGGTCCGGTTCCAGGCCCAGAACCTTACCTTCTTCGGAGCGCACTTGGGAATCCTTCCCCGTCACAGGCCCTGGTGACCCGCCTCAGACCCCAGCATCGGGGGCGGCGTTCCATCCTCTTCCCCTGTCTCCCCTTCCTCCTACCCTGTGCCCGGCCTCTTCCTCTCCACATTTCCCTCTTTCTGCAGAATGGGGGGCCCCTGTGGCCAGGCCTCTTAGACTTCACTGACCCTCGGGGCCATGCGTCCAGCGCTGGGTCGGGGGCTGCCAGCTGTGTCCGCAGCCGCAATCCCAGGGCACCAGCCGGCTTGGGCTGCCCCGATTGGATGCTGGTGGCTGGTTTGTCCTGGGGCGCACAGATTTTTGGCAGGTCACCCCGTGCCTTTGTCCACATCACAGCCCACACCACCGGAGCAGACACCGGGAGGGCCAAGGGTGGGGGCTCGGAGCCACCGGAGGCTGCCGAGGTGCGTGGCACCACTTGGGTGAGGGCTACTAGTGCACAAACCTGGAGTCCCCGCTCTACATCCTCCCTGCTCACTGCCCACTCGTCTGACCCTCTTCCCGGGTCACCCTATAGATGCCGTTCCTGCCCTTTGTCCCTGCTCCGCATCACACATTCCCCCAGCTGAGTCCGTGGTCCCGGATCCTTCGCACGCGGACGGGAGGAGGCCCCGGTCGCTTTCATGCACAATGGCAACTCCTGCGCTTCCAAACCTTTCGCCCTGCCGAAGTGACTGACCGGACGGTAGAACGTGGACTGGGCCCAAGTCGGACACAGCCCAGCCCGTGGGCAGCGAGCCGGTGCCTTGTTCTGCCCGCCAGCAGCCCGGTGATCCAGTGCCTCGGATTGGCCCGCGCGCGGTCCTGGGCCCTCGATGCGGGCGCTCTGGTGGATCCGGGATTCTCACTGGCTCGGGACTCAGCAGCAGAAAAAGCTTCCTATTTTCTCCATCGAAGGAAACACCTAGTTGGCTGTGTGAATCGCTGGGGAAGAAGCAAAACCGGAGAGGGAAGCTCTAGGCTGGGAGTCTGGGCTTCCCAAATCCTGTGGATGCCCGGTCTTCACTGAGCCCTCCCCATCCCCATTGCTCCTCTCCTCGGGACCTCGCACTGCCCGCCCCCCTCCCACCGGACCCAGAGCTACAGCCCGGTGCATGCCCTCCCCCCACCCCTTTCCGGAGCTGACTGACCGGAGCCCAGCCGCTGGGCACCCTCCCAGTTTACAACCCCAGCTGGAGGCAGGATCCTGGGCAGGGCCGGGGCCCAGAGGCATCAAAGAGGAGGAGGAGCTACACGGTGCAGGGTTCTACCCGGCTGGGGAGCCACTTGGAGACATGGGAGTCAGCCAGACTGGACCTGAGCCGCCCCCACCTGGGCCGGTGGGGTGTTGCTATTCCGGGAGGCAGGAGACCTGGGAGCTCTGGAAGTTGAGCTGATGGCACCGACAAAGGTACCCATACTCTCCTCCCCAGACCCAAGGGTGCTTCGCCCAGGACAGGTGGGTCAGAGGCTCAGCCTCCTTCTCAGCCAGCCAAGAGATGGACATGTGTGATAAGTAGCCGTCACCTTCCCGCAGCCCAGTCTTGTGTTTTAGGAGAACTCAGGGCACTCTGAGTTGGGTGGAGGTTCAAAGAGAGGAGTGACTGGGGGGAGGCCCAAGCTGCGGGCTCTCTGACTCAGGGCTGGGAGCAGGTTCTCTCCCTCCTGGGGTTTACTAGGCTGATGGGAGAGGTGGGGGGTGTGGGTGGGAGGGTAGGATAGGATGTTAGGTGGAGTTTGCTGGTGAGGATAGTGTGTGTGTCCTGTGACTGCGGCTCTGTGCAGTGTGGCGGACTGCCCAGCCCCAGCCCAGTCCCTCTGCTCCCTGCAGCCCAGCCCCACCCTCAGCCAGCGGGTGGGGTCTCTGGCCACAGACCCATGACTTTGCAGCACAAGGTCTGGGTCATTAGTCATGAGATTCCTCCCTGGTGGGTCAGGAGACCAGGCTCCCTTAGCTCCAAAGGGTACTGTCAGCCCAGGACTGGTGCTTAGGGAGGGACAGTGCCCTGGCCAGGTGGCTCGGGGCTGAGGTCTTCCACTGGCCCAGCAGAGGTTAGGAGTGGTCAAGAGCAGGCCGCTAGGAGTCATCCAGATCTGGTTCTGGATCTGGCTGTGGGACCTCAGGAAAGTCCTGCTCTCTCTCCTTGCACCTCAGCTTCGTAATCTATAAAATGGGTATAAGGATAGCATTTACCCTAGAAGGCCGTGCAGAGGACAGAATATAAATGCTCTCCAGAGTGCCTGCCACAGAGTGGGGTGTATAAATATTTGGTAAATTATTGGATGAAAGAGAGTCTCCAGGACGTGAGGACATCACTGCGTCTCCTCCAACCAGAGCCCAAGGAGAAACAGACCACACGGAGCTTAGCCGTCTCTCTTTAGGGTAGTCGAGACTCAGATCCTGGCATCTGTGGGCTGGGCACAGGCGACCACCCTCCTCCCCCAGGCAGTGCCCAGACTCCCAGCATGGACAGCCAGTGGAGCCCAGGGCCAGGGCT